AATTTATCAATTTGTCCTTTTAAGTTAGTGGAGAAAGCTCCCCTCAAGCGATGTTGTATATCAGTCCAAGTATGTTGGCTGGAATTCCACTGTAGCGGTGTGACACACAGTCTGGAGAAACCAGGGTCACAGGTTAGGTGTTGACGAATCACGAGAGCGTCCTGGCGTTCGCCAATCCAGTCCAGTGCTGATTCAACTGCAGAAAGGCGGGTCAGGATCTCCTGATCTATTTGAGCCTGTTGGACTAATTCTAAAGTAGTATTGATTAAACAATAAGTGCAACCAGGTGTTAACAAACTGTCAGACTCATAAGGAGAGCAGTGCATTGTTAAATGCTATAATGCCATTTAGATTCATTCATTTTTTGGTCATATTCTGGAGATGACAGATTTGGAAAGAGTTGGATGGCACAATTAAATCATAACCACTATTAACGACTGATCTTGTTATATTTATGCAAAGAAACCTTATGTCATCATTCACTCCTTTAGAATGCCAAATTCTGGAGGGATCAGGTAAGGAGAAAAATATAAAGTGTGAAGGAAAATCCTTTTCCTTCTGATATCTACCAGGCTTCTTAAAACTTTCACTTCCACAGACCTTCTGCAACATTCACAAACTCTCTATTCTTTTTCATACACTTTCTGATATCCACCAAGATTGCATCTTCATGCCTTAGACCTTCCATTACTAACACACTCCACACAATTCTTTCTTAAAATATTTACTTCCACAGACTTTCTGTAACATTCACAAACCTTCTAATCTTTCTTTCATACCCCTTCTGATATTCACCAAGATTGCATTTCCATGCCTTATACCTTCAATTACTAACTAACATCACATAACTTCTTTCCTAAAACTTTTACTTTTCCATTTATCTTTACAGTTTCCCATTTACATTCCTAGAGTGTGAAGTTTCAACCTTCCCTGGAATCCTCAATTTCCTTTTCAGAGCAGATACAGAGCAAAATCCATCCTTCTCTGTGGGGGTGAAGGTGGGGCTTCCGTGATCTGCTCACTCAATTTGCACACCGTTTCACTGTCAGAATCATATTCCTCATCATCTAGCTCTGTTTTCTTTGTCCAAATGAACTCAAGAGAGTCCCTGACAAGCCTCCAGGTTACAAAGATGTGTACACCAATAGATATACCACTGTTTTGCAAAGAATTCAACCTTTCACCCACTTTTTCCCAAACATCAATGTCTAACGTCCCTCTATCAGGAAATGAAGGACAATATTTTCTTATAGATTGCAAAAGCTGCACCAAATGCTTTTCTTTCACCTTATACCTTGCTTCTTTAAGAACTTGTTGTAATATACGCAGAAAAGATTTCTGCCCTTTAGATAAGTTACAACCTATGTTTACCTCCCTTCCTTTTTTTTTTTTAAAGAAAAAGCTTACTTTTATTTACTTTTAATTGGCCAAAATAAATCACCTGATTACTTTTTTCAAGGCAAATCGTTTGTTTTTTTCAAACTTGAGAATTAGATTACTATTTACCCAATTATAGGCGGTCGCGAAGAGAGAAACGACCTAGAAAAGAAAGACCTACTTCCCTGAAAATTCAACGCATCCCACGACATGCCCGAGAAAGAGTTCGGGGTCGTCGGCCCTTACCTGGGCTGTTAGCGCGCAAATCCACCCGAAGTTGATGCGTTGTCCACAGCGACGGCTCGTAGCCGCTGGTTCCAAGTGGTCTCGAACGGGGTCCCACCTCTGTGGTCCCGAATCGCTGCCCCACGTTGGGCGCCAGCTGTTGCGCGTGGGTCACCGGCCAGCAGTGACCACGGCACACTGTGGATGGCTCGACAATAAACACGAGAAAAAACACACATGCACAGAGACAAACCAGTTTCTGTGGGGGAAGTAGGGACAGAATGGCCACCCCCCCTAGTGGGGAGCGCGCCGATCCACCGTCCATACCTGCTTTTATTAGGCTCATTTTGCATAATAACTCAGGTAACGTACAATACTCATTAGGGGAAGTAAGGAATATATAAAACAAAGAACTCTGCCGGTCTATTGAGTTGGGGGTCAAAGAGCTGTAAGGCTGAGGAACAAACTAGCTTCCTCCTAAGACCCTTCTCATTCAACTGAGAGCATTCCAAACAAAGAAGGTTTCACAGTAATTTACATATTCTTTCTTAGGCCTGATCACCCCGGGAAATCCGCACTTCTCAGTACCGAGCTGCACCACCCTGTCATTGTTTTAGGCTTAGGTGGAGCGCGGGAACTAAAGCCACCGAGAGATAAGGAGATTTTCTTCCGGACACTGAGAACTCAGACTTTGTCAAAGCCGAGGAGTGAGGGTCCATCACCCCCTTTTGCTGCAGCCCCCCAAGTCCTTCTTTTGGGGGGCCTCCCAAAAGTGATCGTGCCTGGCTTGGGTTGTTCCCCCATGGGGAATCTTACCCGTCTTTGGCTAACCGACCAAGCTTTTTGGGGTTCAGTAGCAGAAACAGCATTCCTGCCAGGAAGATAAGCTTTTGTCTCCTTGCCGGCTCACGGTTCCAAGGGTGTTCCCTTAGCCTTAGCTAGGCGGGGGTTTCAGCCTCTGATACCAGTCAGGGCGGTTCCCAAAAGAGTTATTACTCAAAGGGCAATGAGTCAGAATCGGAAAGTGAGTGTTTCTGAATTTTGAAGGTGATGGTAGTTGCATGGCAGTGTGACTGCACTTAATGTCACTGTATCCATTTAAAATCAATAAGCATGCTGGTTGTTAGTTAGTTTGTATTTTATCACAAGTGTCACACCGGCACTAATGAGAGGTGTTTTCCAGGAGAGGTGGTACCTCCTGACTCTGCAGGGTTGGAATGGAGTCTGGACTGCTGCAGGTATGCAAGGTCATTCACAGGAGCTCATTTTGGGGCAAGAACCTCAAACAGAGTATGCCTGTCTCATGGGCATGTCCAGGGAAATGGAATTTGGGAACAGGGGAAGCCTAGGTCAGAATTCTGAGCCACAGCCTCCCTCAGCTGAGTGCAGTGTGTGAGAGGATGTGCAGTGTCAAGGGAAGAGGAGGAGACATGTCCTTAGGGGGCAGGACATTACAAGGACCTGAGTGTCTCTTTGAGGAGATGCAATGTGGGCAGCATGTCCTTAGGGTGACTGCTCTCGGTCACGGTGCAGCCAGGATGATGGTGGGAACCCACAACCTCCATGATGCTCACCACAGGACCCTGCTGCCCAGAACAGATGGCCCCTTCTTGGGAGACACGTTGTCACCATGAATTTTCACTTTACAGTGTCCCCTTGAGCCAGTAGCCAACGTATCCCTCTGAGCTCACCTGACATGAGAGTTACAAGGCCTTCAACAGGTTCCATTTTTCTGTGTGTCACTGTCTCTAGAGCTCCTGGAAACCTGGGACAAGAGACACCTATGTGTCACCTGAAATGCATCTCAGAGCAACGTCACAGGGACAGGTGAGCAGGGGAAGACATGTCCAGACTGGGGCACTCTGGGACAGCTCAGAACACACATCACTGGGCTAGCCAGGGCCATAGTCAGGGCCTCAGTTCTCCTCCTCCAAGTTGCGGGACAGGACAGGAGTGGGTTTCAGAGCACAGGTGTCCCCTGAGGCACAGGTGTGCTGCTTGCTGAAGGAGGTTGTCTCACTGCTCTCCCTTGGCATCCACCTCCCTTTCCTTCATGCTGTTCATGCTGGCCGGTGTCCTGGCTCCTCACAACTGTCCCCCTTTATTTCTAGGACAGTGTTTCCATTTCTGGCACAGATGTCACCTCAACTGCATGGGGTTTCAACAACCCCTAACTCTCAGCTCTCTTAACAACAAAGAGGTAATCTCCTGAGACATCCGTCACCTGTGGAGATCTTTCATGTGTTCCATGGATGTCCTCAGGCTGTCAGATGTGCCCCAGTCCTCGCTGTGCACAATTAAATAATGGGGCTGCAGTGGGAATGTTCAGTGTGTGGAATGTGTGGGAGACTCAGGGAAGCAAACTTGGTTTTAAGCATTTTCCAGCCTTTTAAACCTCATCATGGGTTTCACCTCAGTTTAGTCATTTAAAGAAAGACATACCTGCTCTGCACTTTGTTTTGTGTTTTTTTTTTCCCCATCCATTAACCTTGACCCATCATGAGCCCCTGGTCCCCTTCTAGCACATTGTTCCCAATACCCCCTTCCTCTGGTGCCTCGGATGAATGTCAGGATGGCAGGTTTCAAACTGACTCTATGACCAGGAAGCAGGAACCATAATCCACACACACATTAGAACACCTGCTGGCCAGAGTCAGCACCTGTGTCTCTCTGGGAGAAGGTATCTCCAGGACTTCAGGGTCTCATGAGGTCCAGGAATGTGAGGGGCCTCCAGTGTGCGTCACCTGTGGGAAGGGGATGCCTCCTCTGCCCTGGGAGGAGTTAGGTGAAAGGAAGGACACAGCATGTGAAGCACCTGTCTCAGCTGCAGGGCCAGGGCTGTACTCCTGGCAGCAGGTCCTGACCAGTGTGGCCCATTCCCTGGAGCTGGGCTGACACAGAGGCTGCATCTGAACCACCACCTGCAGGTACCAGGGGGTCTCAGCCAGGTGAGGGGAAAGACTTTTTTTTTAGTTTACTCTTATTTTTATATCACATAAACTGTTATTTTTTCATAAAATTACGATTTTCTAATCTGGCAACAATTAATCTACTTCACATGATTTTGGGGACTTGGGCAGATGTTTGGGCATAATGTCAATCTGTTTTAATATCCACTTGAATAATGCATGAAAATTAAAAGAGTGTGGTCCCTCATCCAGTCCAGTTTCAATGTTTAAATGTGGAAAGAAGGGCTGTCCCACTGTCATGATTCAAAGTTGTCTCATAACCCAACTATACTCCCATCCCTGACCCACACCATCAAGTCTGAGAGAAGAAATGTGCTCAGGGACCAGAAGGACATGGGGTAGTAATCTAAGTCTCTCCTGAGTTATGAAACCAGAGTCTCCCACATGCAAATTTTCTTCTCACATCCAGTTTAAAATGCCCCCTGGGCTGTGGGGGCTCACAACTGTCTCCTGACAGGGGGCTGAGGTTTCTCGAGAAGGCAGAGCTGTGCTCTAGAGAAGATGAGACTGCTGGGTCTCCTCCTGTGCCTGGTGACAGCCCCCCTGGGTGAGTGTCTCAGATGTCAGAAATAGTTCTATGGGATGGTGGCTACTGCACATGACTGACAGGGTCTGATGTTCCTTGTCCACAGGTGTCCTGTCCCAGGTACAGCTGCAGGAGTCGGGCCCAGGACTGGTGAAGCCCTCACAGACCCTCTCCCTCACCTGCACTGTCTCTGGATTCTCTTTAACAAGCTGGAGTGTGCACTGGGCTCGCCAGGCTCCAGGGAAGGGGCTGGAGTGGGTCGGTGCTATATGGAGTGGTGGAAGTACAGACTACAACCCATCGCTGAAATCCCGACTCAGCATCACCAGGGACACCTCCAAGAGCCAAGTTTATTTAACACTGAGCAGTCTCACAACCGAGGACACAGCCATGTATTACTGTGGGAGACACACAGTGAGGGGAAGTCAGTGTGAGCCCAGACACAAACCTCACTGTGGGAGGCAGGAGGGCTGGCCTGCAGGGGGCACTCAGGACACCAGGGGGCGCTGTACCCTCACCAATCATAGAAAACCGTGCCAGTGGCAGGTGTGGACCTGGTCGAACTGAAGGAGCTTCCTCCTGGGAGCAGGGGTTTCCTCTCAGAGCTCACAGCTGCAGCCAGGGACCCTGCCTTCTTCACTGTTAATTTGGTTTCTGAGGTTTTCACTGGAGACAATAAAGCAAAAATATAAACATTTTGCAGACGAAATATCACCAGGGACTACTGACCTCTTCTTCAGCAAGTTTCTGGTTTGTTCTTTTTTTTTCTTAACAATGTATATCACAGTTTATTATGAAATTATACTTAAATTGTGATCGAGGAGTGTTTGATCCAGAAGAGAAAATTCTATATTTGTAGTAAAACATAAGCTCATAGTTATAGACCCATTATTTTTGTTTGAAGTAGCCACAAACATTTCAATTTTTTTTTTCTAATTTTGAAGTAAGCAAACTAGGGAACATGCATGAATGGACTCTACTCAGCAATGGAAATAATGATGAGGTAACACAGGAATCAATGCCAGTGAGTCTCAGGGATCACTCAGTGTGAAATTTGCCAGGCTCAGAGACTCCTAAGAGGTGAGTCCTGGGGCTCACAGGTCCACCCCAGGAGGACAGGGGGTGGTGGGACTTTCTGTGCCTTTCTCACTGTGAACAGGCTGGCAGCTGCACTCTGTGTACACTGACTGCACCCTCATTCTCAGCAGGGCCTGAAGAATGGACAGCTCCACAAACAAAAGCAAACACCTCCAGGATCATGTTAATGCACAGTGTCTACCACCAGGTCTGATGTTGTCCTGTCAGCAGCTGTCTCCTCCAGGTGCCTCTCTCCTTGGTTCTCCCACAAGCACAGGATCCTCTGGCAGCTGAGACTCTAATTATTCCCATTTCTTTCAGTGGCTTAATGTGTACAAATAGTAGATTACAACCATTTTCAACAACTATGTCCTACAATGGAACCTATATGGCCATCCTCAACAAAAAAAAAAAGATTGTAATAAAATATAAGAAGAATGAAAATAAAGGTCTTTCCAAACCAAGAACTCAGCAGTTTCCGGAGTAAACATTCAGAGTCTTATGGAAAAAGTCTGCATCCATTTGTAAATACTTGACTATTCATATCTTTTAAAGTCTTGCTCCATCTTCTCCCTCTTCTGTCAGTCTGAAAAACTGGAAATGCAGCTTGAGGGTTTCCTTGTTTGATACCAGGCTGAAGCGTTTCATACCTGTCAGCAGGGCACTGCAGCCCCAGGCCCAACCTGGACACACCCTAAGACCTCAAAACACTCATCATTCTTTATTCTCTGAAGGCATGTGATTGACCATCTCTGCATGCTCACCCTGTGTTCCTCTAAAACCTGTGTTTTTTTTTATGTTACAGGGAGTCTGTTTCAACACTTTAGTGTATGGGCTAATCTGCTTTCAATACACAAACCAAACACCTGATGTTTTTCCATTTCTACCACTATGGTCACTGGAAGTGTAAATTAATACTAAAAAGGTTTGGGTGCCCAATGTATATAATTTCTAGTTTATCAAACAAAGTATATGTTTCCATTGTGTACTAGTCACCAGAATCATTTTCCCTAAGTGACCCAAGATCAAAACAAATATTTTATTATTTGTAACATGCTAAGTGAAATAAGCCAGACACTGAAACACAGATATCATATGATCTAACCTAGAAGAGAAACGTAATGAACACAACAAACAAACAGTCAAAATGGAACCAGAGGCATGGGAACAAGGAAAAGACTGAGAGCAACCCAAGAGGAGAGGGGGAGGGGGATAAGGGTGAAAAGAAGGGGAAGCAACTAGTGAAGGACCATGTATGAGAGATCCAAGGAAATAGGGTGGGGATTGAATGTGGGGATTGTGGAGGGGAGCTGTTGGAGTAAAGCAATGAGGGAAATACTGGACAAGTGTAATAGAACAACAATAAAATATTTAGTAAAAAAAATAAGTGGAACAGCAAAAAATGTTTCCCTTTCTCTATCACTCCCTCTACCTATAATCAATCAATCAATAAAAATGAATAAATATGAAATGAAAATTGTGTTGGTAAAATAAACATTGTCTATGCAGGGTTATAAGTGATGGTTAAATTTTATCATTAAAACAGGAAACATAAGATACATTTCCAATAAGAAGTGGAAGAATTAGGACACAAATGCAGTGTGAATCATACAGTTACAAATACTATTCCAGTGTTTGTTTGTTTTTTATCATTCTCCCTGGCAATTTCTATATTGACAATTTATAAGAATGAGACATGTTTATGGACAATCTTTAAAGTACAAGCTATTTCCATTTACTTAATAAAATCACCATTTCTTCTGTGTTGTATCTACCATACAATCTCTCAATAGGAACTTATCCTTCTCTTTCCAGGAAAAGCCCAGTGCTGCCTCTAGTGGTCCCGTTAGTAGAGCATACTTTCTATAAACCTGAAGTGGTCTTTCTAGAGCTGCGCACCCTGAATCTAATGAGTATGAACTTTGATTTTTATATAATCCCCTGCCTTCTCTGATGCTTATGTTCACCATTAGGAATTTTATATTGAGTGTTGGTGTTTTCCAGTAGCAATGGATAAGAATGATCCCTATTTAATGAAGTAAGAGCTTTATTCATACTGATTGCTCCCCAGAGAGCACTAGATATTGATGTTTTGGTTAAAGTACAAAAATGGTAACATAGTTTTTTCTAAAATATCAGACTACTGGTATAAACACTAAAGATAATGAACGATTAGAATACATGCTTGTTCCTGTGATATACATCATTAGCTGACTTTTCACACAGTGTGACTTGTACTTTCTCTGTGGCTTTTCACATTTTCAGAAAATTTCCACAGTTTGGTAGATTTCTCTTGTATTACTGGCTTCTATTGGCTTTCATGTCTTGATAACATGTGGAAAACAGATTATTGACCAGATGTAAACATCTCTAGGTTTCCTAACATTTAAGTTTCCAAATAAATAGTTTATGTTGAAAACTAAAATTCCAACAAATGTAAAGGTATGCTGAACACAGTTGAGAATTTTCCAAATTACGGACTTCCAATATCCATAAATACTAAAAAAAAAAAAGAATTGTTTAGTAATGAAATATGGGTCACATGCAGTTCAATTTAATTTTAGAGTAGCTAGTTACAGAAAACCCTATAATAAATTCACTCATGTCCCATGGCTGGCATAGCTCAGTGGATTGAGCATGGGCTGCGAACCAAAGCATCTACAGGCTCCATTCCCAGTAAGGGTCATATACCTGTGTTGCAGGCCATGGACCCCAAGCAATGGCACACTGATGTTTCTCTCTCACTCTTTCTCCCTCCCTTCCCTGTGTAAAAATAAGTAAATAAAATATTTTTTTAAAAAATTCACTCATGATTTTCAGTTACCTTAGTTTTGAAAAACATGGGTGTTTTTCCACCATAACCCCCACATGCACACCAATTTACAGTAACCATACTGCTAATCTTAACATTGAGGAAGAAAACAATACACATATTTCTGATATGTGAACATGAATATCAGGACAATTTTGATTCAGAACATGAATAAATGCTAAACAACAGGCCATATACTTCTCTGGTAAAATATCCAAAACAGGAGCCCCTAAAAATAATCTTATGAAAGGAGTGTTTAAAACTATAAAACACAATATAGCATTGAGAACATAAAAAGTTATGAAAATATTTTAAAAACAAAATGCTTTTCCAACCATGGTCTCAATTCCCAGCTCTTCTCTTCAATAAAATTCAAATCCAAACCACATTAAGATACCACCTTTGAATTCTAAGAAGTAGTGTCCAAAAAACAGCAGAGACAAGTGTTGGTGAGATGATGGGAAAGGGAATCCTAGCACACCATTGGTGGAAATGTAAACTGGTGAATCCACTAGGGAATCAGTGCAAAGCTCTCACATATTAGTTTAGAAAAGAAAACCATTTGATCAAGGCATCCCAGTAAGCAAATACATCCAAAAATTAGAATCACTACCTATAAGAGAAACCTGCATAGCAATGTTCATTGGAGCATTCTTTACAAAAGCCAATTCATGAGAAGAATGAAAATGTTTAACAACACATAAATAGAAAATAATATTTCATATAAAATGAATAATAATGGAATATTTATTATTCAGTGATTCCAGACTAAAAATATTGCCCTCTGTACCCACATACATGAACTATGAGAACATTCTGCTAAGTGAAATAAAGCAGAGGTAGGAAAAAATGAATAATCACTGTCAGGTATCATATACATGTAATCTAAAATAAGAAAGCCTAGGGGTTGTGATCAAGATTACAGAAAAGGTAAACCCTATACTCAAATGCTCCATGAGCACATCAGAATTACAACTAAGCTGCAGAACAACCATCGTTCAGAAACCACCTGGTCTGGATGTACAGAAGTTTCACCAAAAAAGCACAGGAAAAGGCATGTCGAAATGAGTAGAAGGGACAAAAATATGAAAATTGTACATCCCACATTCCCAATTTTGTGTAGTGGTTCAAAACTAGGAGACATAACTTGACTGTAGAAGTTCCACCTAAAGAATGATGGTTCCCAGCATGATACCTGAACCCCCTGCCCCCCTTTACCACTGGTGGGAAGACAAGTCCCCAGAACCTCTGGCTGTAGTAACCAGTGAGGTGTTGCTGGAGAAACATGGCAGGTACCTGGAGTCACCTGTGTTCCCCTTAAAGGGCATGAGAATGGAATTACAAGGAACCAGTCACTCTGAGTTTCAGCATCATGGCAGCAGTTGAACATGCAGAGAGCACATTAATGGTTTGGAATCATGGTGTGAGCTGGAGGGGAAACTTTCTCTCAGACAGATGTGCTGTCAGAGGTAATTGTTCCTTTTCTGCAAGAACACCCCACACCACCACCAGAATCACTAGGACT